GAGGAAGCTGAAAATTTCAGCATTTATAGTTCCTACTACAACGATATTATTCATAAAAAACAATTTCGAAAGATCAATTAGTATTACAGTTTTCTGAGGCTAACAAAAATTGCACTCCTAGAAACTTCAGGTCTCCATCGATCTCCGTCCTGGTACATGGACCCTTCATGAAACTTTCAGGATAGATTGGCTACATTGTCACTAGTAAATATCCAAAGTTTCAGCTCGTTTCACCGTGTCAGTTCCGAGATATCTCAAATTTAAGGGCAAAAAACAGCACTTTTTCAGTGCAGAATTTCTCCCACACCTTACATGCAAAATGACCCGGGTCGGTTTTAAATTGTAGAAGACACCTGGATTGAGCGCACTACGGTGTCCCTTCTTTTATTTTCCCATTAGTTGTTTAGTAAACGAAAATATACGGCAACATGGGTAAGAGGGTGTGGGTGTGGGTGTGAGTGTGGGTATGGGTGTGGGTGTGGGTGTGAGTGTGGGTATGGGTGTGGGTGTGGGGGGTTGGTGTGGGTGTGTGGGGGGGGGGGGGGGGGGGGGGGGGGGGGGATGGGGGGGGGGGGGTATAAAAACAAAAGGCTCACGCACACCCACCCACACTCACACCCACACCCACACCCACACCCACACCCACACCCACCCACACGCACACGCACACCCACACCCACACCCACACCCGCACCCACCCAAAGCTGGACCGACTCATATATGTTTCAAATATTTTTAAGAATTATTTTTCATCAAAAAATTCATCCGTCTCTCTCTTAGAGGACTGTCAAAAAATGGTATCTCTAAAAATGATGTTTTTATAGTCTAGCTTTCTGCGGCTTTGCTTCCACTGTGATTTTCGAATCTTCCCAGGTCGATGATTCCGGACAACAGATCCTGCAGGAACCGCCAGCAAAATGCAAGAAAATTCACCATAGCCTGCAGGAAAACATCGGAATTCGTTGGAACATGGTTGCAGTATTCCGATCTGAAACTTTTCGGAATTTTTCCGATGATTTTCCATCAACTTCCTTCCGTTTCCTGCAGGAAGTTCGTGGGAAGTCACCGGAAAAAAATCCGAAAATTTTCCGACCGGAGTACTGCCACCCTGTTCCATCGAATTTGGATATATTCCGGCCGGAACCGGCCCGTATTTTCCGACATGGGTCGGACGCTTCATTTCACAAGACAAATACCATTTTGAGAGACACCATTTTCTGATGGTTTTCTGCGGGAGAATGAATAGGGGTGAATTTTTTGACGACAAAAAAATTCTTAGAAATATTTGAAACAATTATGAAACGGTCCAGCTTTTAATGCTGATTCCAAATATGATACTAGTTTTGACATAGTCTGAAGTTTTTTCGATGAGAAATGGCTAAATATTAGTTGTAAAAGTACAAAAACTGGACTCACAGCACAATGTGATTAGGAATTACCTCAGTGGTTAGTGTATTTAGTGTTTTGGAAACATACAGTTTGGTAGCTTTTGAAAACAACCATGAAATGAGCAATACCAATAGTTTGAATATTTAAATTTTCTCTTTAAAATATTTGTAAGAATATAAAAGAAAATGATAAATATAGGACTTATATCAATAGTGCTCGCCAGTATCTTAGACCTACATGTCACAGAATTAACTAATCAGTCGATAATTCATATATGGGATTGAACTGTCATCAAAGGGTGGGAGTCAGGGTAAGAAAGTTTGCCTCTTCGTCCACACCCAGACCCACACCGCACACCCACACATCCATCCACCCACATCAACCCTCCTGCGTCAAAAAAAAGATCGTCCTGTTCCTGCATATGCAGGACTAATGTACAAGAAAATAGCTAACTTGCAGGGCAGATCCCACGACGTTCTCTGAAATATATAGTTTACAAGTTCATATTCTCTGAGTTAATTATGTTTTGATGTTTATTTTCTTTTGTTTCATTAAAAGATATTCTGTGGAGATAAAAAATAATGTTATTGATAATCTGGTTGACAACAATGTACATTGAACAAAAATCTTTCAGGATTTTTTCGAATTTCGAAAATGAAATTTTGGAATTTTCCGACTTTTGACATTTGAATTTTGGATTTTTTATCCTCACATCTGGTAACTCTGCTTCAGAACTATCTTATCCTAAGACTGAGTCCACCGTGATAAGATCGATTATTGAATTAGTGACTAAAAATTAGTTACTTCATTAACAGCTTGTAGCTTCGAAAATTCGATAAAAATCTCATAAAACTAGTGTTAAAATGTCAGTCTCAACATGTTCTTTCCATTGATATATGATTCAATGGGGTTGAATCAGCAAAGTACTAGTGAGCCGATTTGACTTCTTATACGCCTTCGTCCTTTGTGTGTAACATTAGAATTGTTTACAGAGACTTGTATCAACTACACTTATCGGGTTCTGCAACAATTGGCGAAGAGCAAGAATTCCATTTTTAAACTAGGCCTAACACAGATACGTTTCGAAGTCGATTGTCTATAGAAGCCGTTTGAAAGTGGTGTCATCTAAAAACGACTATTGTTAACTTCTATCTTCATGCTCATCATCTGGTGCCATCATTTGACCAATACTTTTTCTCATATAAAGAAGTTTTGAGGTTACACGGACTGAGGTCACAAGGCTTTTTTATTTGTTCAATAGATTTTTTCGTACAAACCGTTCAAAAGAAGTATCAAAGACTAGAAGTTTCACGTAGAGAAGAATCTAGATCGATCTTGTCACTCAGTTCCTTATATTTCGACGATTTTCTGATCTGTTACCGATGAAATACGCCGAAACAGAATGGAATCAACTAGTTCCCAAGGAGGAGAATGATCTGGAAAAAAATCGATTAAATAAACTAAATATTTCGTCTCGTTGGATTGCAACTTGATTTAGCAAGAGCCATCATGATTTGCTATAAGTGAACAATTGCCATCCTCTGACTTGAAATACTTCAGAATATACTTACTGGCAATGATAAAATGAGTTGAAGGGGAAGAAGAGGATTTTTCGTTATCAGTGGTCATCTATCACTAAGAGAAAAATTACTTCTACCATAGCGCTGAAATCTTTTTTACTTTATCAGTTTTATCGTTTTAAAATATCTTATGGAAAAAAATACACTACTAATCATCCCGATTCTTCTTCCTTATTGCTACCTCGCTCCACTTTCTGACTGACTCCTTCCTTCTCCTTTGGTGGTGACGTCATTTCCACGTAGTTAATCACTCTCATGTAATAATTGTTATAGATTTCTGTCGCAGTAACATTAAAATTATCAGTATAAAAGTTACAAAACTGATTTTATTGGACATGGCGTCGTCAGTGGAAGAATTAAATTTGAAGTCGTCACTTCACAATGAATTCATATGAGAATGTCAAAGTAATATTGATCTATGGGATGCAATGCAAATCGCCGAATAGACACCTTATTCTAATGCTATATCGTCAGACATTGAAGAAGCTTATAAACGCGGTTTGAAACAGATATTTGTTGACGAAAATTATCGTATTGATTTGAAACACTATGTACAAGAGCTCATCAACAATCCACACCAACAACGACCCGTTCGACGACGACGATGTCGTCTTCCTTCAAATATTGTCATCGAAGGTGAAACGGAAGATGAATCATCACGTCGTGAACGATTTTCATCTCCTTTAGGATTAGTTTTGAGCCGCAATGCAACAGAAGATACAACTTATTATGGTTCACCATTTATTCACGTTTGGTTAGTGGTATTTACCAAGGGAAAAATGAAGGTTACATTCGATACCATTTTTCCCGTTCTTGTAAAAGGCTTAATCGAGGAGGGACAATCCGATACAAAAAATAAAGTGTACGAAATCGAGGCGACGTTGAACAAGGTCGAAAAGGACACTCGTGAAAAAAGTTCGAAGAAGAGAATAAAAGAGCTACAAAATTGCTGTGCTAAACTTTATACAAAAGTGTGTTATATATATTGTGTCGTAAACACTGCATTGCGTGACGATGATCGAACGAAACTTCATACTCTTGGGCCCTTCTGCTATCTCCTATTCAACTATATTGGTCGACGTTTCAAAGATAATTCTTCAATTCGTGATCGTCTTCGACGAGTTCTTCGCCCAAGCGAAATTCAATTGATGACTCTCTATCGTGGCGATCGTAATTCTGACAACGCTGTAGAAGAATATCGACGAGCAGCTGGAGACTGTTCCAAACAGTTTAAATGGCTTCCATTCGTTTCCACTTCATATGACCGAGCTGTAGCTGAAAAATTCGCAGTTGATGTTTTGTATGTAATTGAAATGCGATCTTATTCGTCGAACGAAGATCAATTTACAGATCTGACAACCCTCAGTAATTATTCTGACGAAAAAGAAGTTTTATTACTACCAGGAGTGCAATTTCAAGTAAACAAATTAGAATTTGATAATGAAAATGGACTACATTTGGTCTATATTAAAATTAATTCATCGTACGTATCCAGCTTGAAATGATTGTTGAGACCAGTTTCATTTGAACAGAAAAAAAAACAGTTCATGATGTCAAAAATAAATCAATTGAGATCTTTTTAGCCCAAAAAAATGTTAATAAATCGATCTGCAAAAAAATGATTGAATAATCCGAATAAAATAAGACGATCTTGTAATTTTTTTCCCGATTATCTATGTGTTGGTGTTTTATTCATATCTCTCTCACTTCGACATCCACATCCACATCCAACAAACATACGCAAAACAAAACGAACAAACTATAGAATCAAACAACAAAGAATGCTTCTCATCTCCTCTTCCAACAAATTCCTGTTTCATCAAGAGGAATGTTACTGATTGTGTTACGTTTTATTGTGGTATTCTTGTGTGAGTTCCACGTTTTAGTCCCATAGTGGCTGCGCTGACAAGCTTTTTGAAACAATCAAAACGCTTGGGACCGTCACTCAATTGATTATTACCATGACTGATAAGTTGACTATTATTGATCCGGTTTTCATTCTCCAATACTGTACTTCTCAGTTTTTTTATGAGAAAGAATTGAGGATATTCTTGAAGATGCCTAAGATTCAGCTCTGTTCCCAATTTGGATGAATTAGTCAGCATCCGATGCAGGAACACGCTGATGTCATCAAAAATTTCTGTTTAAATCCATGGTTCAATGGCGGCATTCAGTCCGGCATGTTTCATAGACACTGGTTTAGAAGAAAAAATAACTCTATATACCATAAAGATGACTCCTACAATCATCCATTGTCGCTTGTTATTGAAATCACAATTGTCATAGTCACTTTATTAAGATTCTTACGGCTTCGATATTCATTTCACGAATGCATATTTCATTTTAAATTCGATGAAAATTGGAGATTACTTCGAATATAACCTATATCTTGTATCTATAAAAAATGATGATGGTTACTTACACGCTATTCCAGACAGTCAAAATCAATAAAAACAACGCGTTAAAACGCTCGAACATTGAACGTGCTCCAAATCGTAAAAAAAGTACATTTTAACGCGTTACAACTTTCAAAAACGTTTTAATGACGTTAGATACTTTAACGCGTTGAAATGTGTGCTTTTTACGATTTGGAAATCGTTTAACAGTTTAAATGCATTTTTACATGTTCTAGTCTTGAATTAAGCTATCTGTTTAAAGAAAAAGCGACAATTCTACACCTCAAGACTTCTTGACAGATTTCTATGACGATTTCTTAGCTGTTTCAATTTTATTTCTATCTTGTATTGTTGTCATATAAATTCAACTCTATTATCTGTTAACCTATTTCAAACTATACTATTCAAATTGGGTGTGGGTAAAGAGAAGATCAAAACCACACTCACCACCCACACTCCACATCCACACACGCATCCACACCCACACCCGATCCGATGTGAAAACTTTGGTCTATATAATAGCATTTCGGAGCAAACTAATGCAATAATTAGCGGTAAACGCACTCCGCTCCGCTTTTCAGGATTATTTCGAGAATGCATGAACGAAAAATTCTAAAATTGAACATCAAACTGCTCAAGTGAATAACGTTCTCTTTTTTCGGTCGATATACTCAGTTTGAATATCGTTCTCTACAAATACCATTCGACTATTTATATATATCTCAGCGATTAATCCATGAAAATTCGTTTCTTTGCATAAGATCATCACTGTTTCTGCTCTCTATTATCCCCATTTTTGGAATGAGTATTGCATATGTGTGAAATAAAAAAACATATTGTAGTATTTTCAAATAGAACGGAGAGAAGAATTTTTGCGGTACAACAGTTTTTCGGAAGACGTTATAGCGTAAATCCTCTCCAGCACTGGTACGATATTAAGTTCTTCGAGTAAAATGAACAAATATTTTCGTATCTTTATTTGTTGTTTGCTCATTCTTAAAAATAGAATTTAATAATCTGATGAAGTAACAATAGCATTTCGTTGACTGACATTTATAGAGAGACGTCGTATGAACACGCCTTAATAGCTGAAGAAAACGACTTCGTCTCACATGGAATAGTTGCCATCAGAAATACATTGTAAATGTGAATGTAAATGTGAGTGTTATACATATATCCATCAGCAGACAGTCACACCCACACTTCATCAACATATTAAATTTTTTTAATGAACAAGAAAAGGAAATTTTTATTGGCTTTAAAGACACTTTATCTCACTTCACGCACTTCAAGTTCTTGTATGATTGATGTTTTCCTAACCAAAAATAATGATTATCTTCATTACTAAGTATAATACAATTCGAACTATTGAATATAGTCTGTTCCTTTTGTAACCATGCCATATCAATTAATGGTTTTATCTTTCCAGAAATATTGACATGTAAACTTTGTAGTTGAGACATATTCTCTAAAATAAAACCGATTGTGTCGTTTGGTGATTGAATACATAAAGATAAATGTTGACATTTCGAGGAAAAATCCGAATAATTTGTTGAATTTCATGGTTATTCATATATTGTGATCGTGCGTATCTTCCACATAATTTTAAAGCGATAATCTTACGAGATAGATAATCACATATAGAAACATTATTCCAATGTTCTGTCGCTATCTGTAAAATTCTCTTTTCTACAACTAATGAATATAAATGAGGTGCATTTTTCAATATATGAAGAAAATTTTCTGGTGACATCGTTATAGGACAGTTCATCTCTAAATGTTGTAGTTTACTCAATACATGCATCCATTTAATTGAATCAAAATCATTATAAATAGTCAAATTAATCACTCCGTTTCTATGGAAGTTTTCATCGGGTTCAGAAGATTTATATAGGACTTCTAGTGTTTTAACATTTGAGAATATATTAGTATAGAAATCGTTGTTATTAACAAACAATAAAGTTGGAACAGTTTTGATGTTAGTACCTTGCAAAGCTGTATAAGTTTCGAAAGGAAATGGTAATGAATAGAGAAGTGCACGACCACGATCAGATATATCACAACGAATAAACCATTTCTTTTCCAGTGTATAGAACGGTGTGGAAAATGATACTATGGCTTCATCCATTTGATAAGATGATTGCAATGAATATTCAAAGTTGAAATAAAATTTGAAGATTTTTAATAATGGAAGGGATGAACAAATCAAGGGTTCCCATATTTGACCATTAGGAGGTATGCTTGCTCTTTGTCTTTGATATATTTCAAGAGTATTTAATAATGATAAATGAACAAGTGAACGTTGTATAAAATTCCAACATCCTTCATAATCAAAGATAACTTTAAGATGTCTTAATGTTGATGGCCATGATAAATCGTTTCTAAACCAATGACAATTTTCTATTGTATATTCAACACTTTCAGGTTGAGAAAAATTCTAAAAAAAATTAATAAAGAAAATTATTCAATTTTCTGTATTTTTAAATTTACGTTTATCCAATCAATATGAGAACAGGCACCAAAAACAAGTTTTTTCAGATTTGGAAGATCAAGTTGAGGCATTGTTTCACCACATAGAGATTTAATTATTAACGAAACAAGAGTTTTTAAAGATGAAAGTTGAGATAAAATAATGCATGTCTTTCGAATGTCTAAATTTGAAATGACTAATGATTGTAATTGAGGAAAATCATTGATTAAAGAATAAACTTGACAAAAGTATTCGACATGACCAGGTGTATGTTCATCATCAGAAATTCTTAATGATTTCCATCGTTTTGTA